GACGTATTTGCAGCATCAACCTAAAAAAACAATCGTATCCTTATAATGTATCACGAAAACCGATTCTCGGTTTATTGTCACAATTTTGCTTGACCTCTGAGTTGACGGGTCCCCTTATCGTACGAGTAGTGCGATAGCGTATGGGTGTTGCTTGACGTATTTGCAGCATCAAGCTAAAAAAACGATCGTATCCTTATAATGTATCACGAAAACCGGCTCTCGATTTATTGTCACAATTTTACTTGATCTCTGAGTTGACGGGTCCCCTTATTGAACGAGTAGTGGGATAGCGTATGGGTGTTGCTTGACGTATTTGCAACATCAAGCTAAAAAAACGATCGTATCCTTATAATGTATCACGAAAACCGACACTCGATTTATTTTCACAATACATAGAAAAATTGCAAACTTTTCGTCAGTGTGATTAGGAATCATTTTCGTTACCATTTTGATTATTTTTCGTTCGTTATCGTTCCCTTGAACATTGGATGTACTACGAAGATGGCCTCGTAAATGCAGCGTCTTTAGTGTCGCCTTCGAAGGCAGCTCGCTTGCCCCTTCCACTTTGTTCTTTGAGCATAAAAAGAGATAGGATGTACTTAGGATATACTTAAAATTTCCCTTCATGTCCTTTGGCCTATTCCTCGACTATATTATTAATTACTGGGAGATAATAGAAAAGAGGTAAGCATCAAAATTGAATTTAGACATAAATATAAAAGATCATTGTGGCTACCTACGTAGAGGAAATCTATGGAACCATTCACCTTTTTGAAGTTTAACAAATCTGTGAATTTGGTAACCAATCCTCATATGATGAGATAAAACAAAAATGTGGATATGCATATTTTACAGCTCAGTCTTGGATTTTTGTTTTTGTTTTTGGGTTTTTTTTTTTTTTTAATGCTCCATTTTACAAATTTTTACATACATGCACGCATTACTTAATGTCATTCTAACTTTAAGACTTTACTGTCAGTTTCTGGATTATTTCAACTTTATGCATTATTCTGCTTTAAGTCTGGGTCTTACTTTGGTTTTTCTTCCTTTTCTTTTTCTTTTTGTTGTTGTTGTACTTGATTTTCTTACTTATACAATATTTTTATATTTTATTTTTACAAGTATTTCTGTTTAATTGTGTAAACGTGTGAACGTGTTTATATATATATATATATATATATATACGGTAGCATATACATGCGGATTTGTGTGTAAACTTATGTACATAAGTGTTTATTTATTTTTAATATTTTCTAAGCTGCATTGCTGCTGCTACTAAGATATTTGTTAAATCAAATGCTTTTGCTTATGGAAATATTTATAAATGTAAGACTTGCGTTTCGTTTCCTTAACTTTTTCGAAGAGCGACAAACTTGTTTGAAGTGTAAAAGTTTCACTTGGGGGCAGTGCATGACATACCTATATACGTATGTGTTAGATAATATTAAAATGCATTTCATAAGTCTTGCAAATTTCTTCTTTACAAGTTAATTATTTCATAATTAAAGCAAAGTTTCTCATTTAGTACAGAAATAATATACGAGTTGAGTTTAAACGTTCAAGTGCTTTTGATTTGAAAAGAGATTTTATAATGAAATTATTTTATATAGGACTTTGTTTCTTTTTTTTTTATTTTTTTTATTTTTATTTTTTTTTGTTTGAAAAAGAATTTGCCGGCTACAAAGAAGTTCAAAGTTTATTTAATAATACTTTAGTTTTAAATTAAAGTGCGTTAAGTCACTTGTAGACCACCTCTTGTGGTTGAAACTTTCAAACAAAAATTACAAGTTACGAGCAAGTGTTGCATGAAAATCGTTGACAAATGCTTGAAAGAGTTAAGCGAGAATACTGTTTAACAATAAATATACAAATTATTTGCTGACCGATTCGAGAATTTTCACTTCTGTAAAATGCCTTTGCTTTTCTTCTATGATATCTAATTTGTTTAATGGTGTAACAATGCGAGGTGAACAGAAAAATAGTTGTATGTTGTCTTATGTTGATGGGAAATATATGGGAAATATTCATTTTCCATTCTTCTCTTAACATATATGTTATATTTATGTTTTGTTATGGTACAGCGGGAACCTTGCTGGGGTGCAGTTGCAAAATCTGGCATATTTCTAGGTGAACAGTAAAATAGATGTACTTAAAAGCAATCATTTTTATAGAAACCAAATTCAGGCAATCATTAGCCGGCGTGAATGAAAGTAATTTCCTCAGACAACTACTGAGACCTAATACCATAGTTCTTTATGACGCTTTAACCTTCCCAAGCATTCTCAATACGATTACGGCTGGGAGAGTGACTCTTGCCCATTCAACAACATCCAAGATATGATCCAACAACCAGGCTTTCACTAAATTGGATGAATGTTTCCGATCTTTGTCCTGCTGAAATTTTCGTAGCAATGGCTTGGTTTCTTTGCATGCGGTATTATTAAAGTTTCCCACAAGGTTTTATTTATGCAAATCTATTCATAGTGGCCCTCTCAAGAAAAGTAGCCCCGTATGTTAAGATTTCTTCCAACATGCTTCAGTGCTGTTTTAGTAAACCTTATGTGGAAAGTTATTACCTCTGACCGAACTACACTTCTTCCCTCATCGTTCTCAAACATATTTATTTTAGTTTTCTCATTCCAAAGTATATTTCTTCACTTTTTTTGCTTTCTGGTCTTCACCAATTCTTATGATCTAAAGCAAAGTCTGTTTTCTTCTCCAAATCAACTTTCGTGAGCAAAGAATTTCCTAACTATTCTGAATCGGTCGGTATAATAGAAGGTAGGTTTATCTCAAGTCCTTCTGCAAAAAAACGTTACTCAGTTTCCAATCACAGAGCAGTTTGTCGTTAAAAAGGGACAGATGTTTAGCTTCTGCCGCGAGAAGGGCGTTATCTTATCTCTGCATTTCATTGATATGATCTCTGCTATATATTAACATAAAGTTTAAGTAAGAGACGTTCACAATAATCGCTCGTCAATACAGTTTCTTATACCCTTTGTCGATTTAATTGAAACAGCAAGGAATTGAATCGAAACTTCCATACAACATGTATGCTTGAGTAACTGAATCTACCCAAAGACCAAAGAAGTCTGTCTCTCTGCTTAAATATACTTATCTTGTTTCTTTCTGTAGATAGATTTTTAATACAATAACATTTACTTCGTGTGAATTTAGGATTAAAAGTTTTACAAAAGAATTTTCTGATAACAAGAATTTCGTTCTCCTGGCATCGAATGATGATAGGTTTTGAAAAGATTCCACTAAAACTTGGAAATAAATTCATAGTTTTTTTGTTTTCACGTTTCTCTTCATTATTATAAAGACCACCAATTGTTAAAAAGCAAGTATGAAACAGTTCATAACAGTTCGAGTTGACAATACATGCATAACAATGAACTGTTGCCATTATTGTTTGCGTTATAGTTCGAAATCGAATTTCACTTGAGTATCTTTTATGTGCACATATATGCTTATATATGTTTTCCAATTTATATGAACTCTTACATTATTTAGAAATTGATTTCTTTCTAATGTTAACAATGTATGTTATGAACTGCTTTGTTGCAAAAATAACAGTTGGATATTTAATTTAATTTTAAACAAATTTCAATATTAATTTAAAAATTTAGATTAAATCAGCAAAAGATTTCGGCTACGAGACTTTCTTACAACGACATAAGTTCCTAAGAATGCTTCATGGTCAGGTTTTGTGGAAATCTGTTACTGTTTTATGTAACAAAATAAATAAATATCCAATGAAGCGGACGGTAGTCCCGATTATAGTAAAATTCCTACTTAAGCAAGTTTCCGTTTTTGAGCCATCTCCTGATGTTTGGTATTTAATAGAAAGGAAGAAAATAACTATCGCTTAAACCGTGACCAAGTTGTTGCTTTACTTATTTTTTGATTAGAAAGCAGTACAAAAAGAAAGTAAAAACATTATAGTTGGCCACGCCCCACTCTTAAATACCGTAAAGCATTTGGCTTAATATAGTTATTCACCTAACGACTAGGAAGCGGTCGAAAAAATGGTCCGATGCGAACGATTTTCAATAGGGAAAGTCGTTGGGCCAAGACACGTCGGAGTACCAAATTTCAACAACATATCTCAAAAATTGCGAACTTTGGATTTGGACAATTGGACATACAAGTTTAGATTGATTAATAAAGCGATTTCGATAAAGTAAAAGGTAAAGTAAAAGGTGGGTCTGTCTTAAGTTTTTCTAGGTGGAACGGAAAGAACAAGCAGATGATTTAGAAAGAACAAGAATTAATCTGGAACTCTTTTTTTCCTAATTTTGAATAAACTGTTACGCATATGAATATCTGATAAATAATTAAGTGAAAGCAACCTAATTGGATAAGGAAGGGGCTTTTACAAAATCGCTTGTTTACTACTTTCCAAAGTAGCCAACCAACCGCGTTTTAATTGTTGCCGAATAAGTGCCTTACTATCTATTAGTGTATTGTTGCCGCTAAACCGGATCGCGATTACCATGCTAGTATTCACGGACATGAATCCCATTATGGTTTGGCCGCACTTGGTCGTAGCTATAGTAAGTAATCCGTTGATAAAGGCATAATATTTACCGTTTGGGCACACATTCTCCCTATCTCCTTCTTTCTTTTTCCCCTTCTTTCTGATCATTGAATTGCTACACATATAAAGGTCACTTCTTGAGCTCTTTCATATATATATACATACATATAAAATAAAACCTAAATGCTCTTATTATCTACACATTCCTTGATAAGTCTATTGTGGCGGTTGGGTAAAGAGCTCATAAGAGAAGCAAACACATTTTACTAGTAGCTATTCCATGAATGGGACACTATCCGCATCTGTTTTTACTTTACTTCTCCAAATCAAAACCGGCTTGCATTCCTTAACGGAATGCGAATTTATCTTATCATTGCAATCGTCATAGTTTAATTTATATAATAAAGAAATTGAATCTTAAAAAAATAATGATCTGAATGTCTTCTTCTATTGCAGATGGTTCCTGCAGAGCTCAGGAAAAGACGCACCAAATCCTCAAATACTATCAGGTGAGTAAAAAAAGAAGTCCATTTGAACCTTTATAAGCAATAAGCAGTGCATCAAAAGAAAAACAAAAATTGGGTGCTTGCATGTATTTTGATCAGCGATATCTACGCAAGTACCTATGATATATAAAAATTTCTAACTTTACGACGCGTATACTGATTGCTCTTTAGAATTGAATCGGTTCTTAGTTCAGTAAAATATCTTAATGAATAATATTTGATGAGAATTTTCCTATGAACTTTGGTTTCCTTCCTTGGTTACTGACTATCAGTCATTGGCTACCGCTTATGAATCAAAAAATATTCGTTTCTATATCGCAAGCTATTTGAGTTACTGCTATGTAAATGTCAAATATTCGTTAACTGATATGTTCTTAATACTGAATAGTTTCAAATCTAACTCAGGCTATCTATTTTTGCTTTCCTCCTTTCCATTCCTATCGTAAAGACAATTGCTTCTGGCGAATTGCATTAAATTTCCCTTTCTATTTACCAGCTTATACGTAAATTATCTTAGGCATCACGTATGCTGCTACTTATTGCTGCTTAATAATTATACGAATTACTTATGAAATTTATTAATTTAATTTACTGACTTAAAACGTGACATAATCTGGCTGCCTGGTAACAATTATTAAAGTATATCTGCTATCGGGTCTTATTTATTACATAAGAATAAGTTGATCTAAATATGGCTGCATAAGCAACGGTTGCAAAATTGAAAAGTTATAGAATGCCACGAAAGTGTAGACGAAGGCACGTAACGAGAAGAGATTGAATTCGTTCAACGTTAAGCTAATAATCAATATTCGTCCAGTCCGAATCCGAAACACGGAAAAACTTTCTTCCAGTAACTTTTTCCGGGTTGAAATACATTGCTCGTGTTTCATTAATAGCGTCTAACGCTAAAATACTTTTCTAAGTGAGTTACTTATAAGAAGAATTTATACTGAGTTGAACTGAGTTCTGCTTGCATCGTACGACCATATGACAGATATTTCGTGAAAGATCAGGAGGAATTGATATAAATATCTTGAATGTTTTTTGTTTTCGGTAATACGAACTGTAAAATCGGCTCTAAGATCTTAGAACCTTTTGGACAACATTGTGTTTTTTTTTGCATATAGCAAAAAAGTCGCGTTCAATTAAGAAAGGGACTGTGATTTCTTATCTATTACATACTATGAGGGCTTTTTCCATTTCCTGATGCTGAGATAAGCTCAGCGGCACTAGGCTTCTGACTCACAACAATTTTATGTTTTCTTTGGAGGTTTAAAGAATAGTTTGACTTTTCAGAAGTTGTCACTTGGTTTATTCATTACTCTTACTTCGCTTACAATTTATCAATAAATGTTAAAAACTTTTACAATACGAAAGCATTTCAAGAACCGTAGATTGATTAAAGTTACACGCTTACTACATTCAATATCAATGCGCACTCGTTCTAGTCATATTACAGCGTTGACCATATCGTTATAAGTTTACATCGAGGTTCTACAAATTGCACAAACACTTTGCCAGCTCAGAGCGTACTCTCGTTATTATTGTCTAATAATAAGTTTCGCTTCTCTCCTTATTCGCGTTGTCGCTTTCGGCTCTCCCCTGATTCTGATCTCATATTCCCAACCGGTACGATCTGTACCCCGACACGGACCCATTGCAGACACTTATTTTACGACTCTCGTCCTGTTTCTTACCATATTTCCAAGCAGAAATGTCTGTTACTGACTGGGGTTCCCTTATCTCCCGTCTTCCGTCTAGTAGTTTACTTAATCCTATTCTTAACCTAACTTAGCCCCTTAGCACTTCCCCCCCTAGAGACGAAGAACCTGTGAGGTCAAAACGGGGAGGAACGACTTTGGCTCTTCACAATATTTATCGTTCCTTTTTGTCAACTAAATTAATTTATTTTTATAAATAGTTGCATAAGACTCTCTGCTAATTTTGCGTTTATTATTAAATCTTAAAGGTATGTGTGCACACTTGTTGATGGTTCAATCTTAATTCAAATCTTTTATGCGAAATGTTATTAATTACTAACTTTCATAGTAACACATAAATTTAAGGACAACATGATACACACACACACACACACACACACACACACACTTTCATATAAAACTAAATGTTGCTTCCAATTACAAAGCCACAAATCTTTTAATGACAAATACAAACATGTGCACAAACAATTGTTAAAATATCAAGCATACATATATATATATACATATATATATATATATATATAGATGTGAAAGTTACAAACATTACTTGAACTCTTGTTAAACTTTCTAACTAAGAGTATGATGCATGCACCTTTGTGTGCGTGTATATGTATGTATATATGTGTAGAGACAAACATGTTTACATATGTGTGAATTTACTTTACTTTACTGCCTGCAAATTTGTAACATGTACACAGTATAACTTGGCCATAATTCTTGTTGACACCACATAACTTATTTCGGCCCCTAACCTAAAGTGTTAAGCCAATCAATTCATTAAGACTTTTATAACTATGTACATATGTATAATGTGTACAAGTGTACAACATTGAGTGCTCTCTCTTACGTTCATTCGTACGTACCTATACATATATTTATTAAAAATGTAAAGGATGGAGTTTTTTCTTTTTTTTGGTTTTTTTCTTTTTGGTTTTTTTTTTTGCCAAATTTTCGCAAAATTTTGTAACAAACTATGAAAAACAGTTTGGCAATTGAATGGAATGCCTTAGTAACTTAGTATATCTAAAACAAATGTATTTGTGTTTGTGGAATGGCATGACGTTACGGGTCCATACATAGTGGGTACGATCCCGTTAAATGAAATAGCAGGGTGAGAGTGAAATATATTTTGAAAATTTGCACTTATTGGCCAGATTTTGTACACTAATATGATGAGAATTTTGCGAAGAATTTTCACTGAATCTTTAATGGGCAGAGCAGTGGCTACAACGTAACGGCAACTTCAACGACAACGGCAACGAATTCATGTTGAACAGGAAAGTGAACTCAAAAGCAAAAAAAAAAAAAGGATAAAGGATATAGAACGGTATGCACACTCGTGCAGTAGTGCAGCATGAAGTGGATGATAAATAAAAGTGTCAACGCTTATTGCTGCCAAAGTGTGTTTGGCAAGAGAAATGAAAATTAAATTGTTACCGGAACGTACATATATATCTATACAGATGATTTTCAATGTAATTTTTATATATTGTTATATATATTGTTAAATCTAAAAAGTATTAAGCGCATAAAAGTTAAAATTAATAGTACTGATCTGATCTTATTGTTCTACGACAGCGTGTGAAAGCAGACACAGATACGATACGATGTTGTTCGATGGATCATGTCTAATTTTAATCAAACAAATTTTAGCACAAGTTGGCTGGGCTTTGTGAAGCTGCGTTTTTTTTCTTTGTAAATTTTTAGGATGTTAGTGATGTCAACACTTTATACTTTGCCATGTTGTTAGCTTGTTGTTAGATTATTTACCGATTACCCCCCGCTCTCTTCATTGTTTTCAATAAAATTTCCAAAAACTTGACAATTCTTAAAGCTTTTCTCACTGCTTGCTGATCAAGTCTCTTGTCGAAAAATGATTAGATTTTTATAGCACGCGTTTTTAAGATATGATGAATGAATTTTTGTAAAATATCCGTTTAGATTGAAGACAGTTCATCCATTGGTATGACATAACATCTTGCGCATAAGGATAAAAATCTCAGCATTTTTGCGCAACGTGGGGCTTAAAATGAAAGCTTTCAAATAAATTTTAAATCCCCGCGACTCTCTTAATGTGTCCCGATAATCGTTCTAACCTTGTAAGGTATATAAAAAGTACGTTAACAAGCTAAATGCGACTTATAGTTGGTTATACAAATGGTTATTAAACCGTCAAATGCATCTATTTTGCGTTGACTTCACTACCAAACTTTTACTTTGTTGAATATGTTGTTGTTTGTTTTCGATTCTTTTAGTAAATAAACATTTTTATATGTACATATATATATATATATTTTATGTAACATTTATATATATACATATATATATATATATACGTAAACATATATTTATAAATATATAAATTACTTAATACTAAGGTTTAATACTTTTTAGCATCTGTAAAGATGTATGTTTGTTTCCTCTATTAGGTATAAGGACAACAAATTTGTATAAAAGTAAAGAAAAAAAAAATTTTTTTTTTTTTCTTGATTATACACTTTGTGTAAAGGAAACGAAGCGAAAATTTTCTCAAACAATGTTGAATATTGCATATGTACGTGTGTATGCATATAGACTGGGCTATATGTGTATATTTATATTACATGCAATATTGAAAGTTTACTGTAATTTAGAGCGTGCACAAGCTCAAACACAGGCACACACGCATTACATTACACCAACACACACTCATACACACACATATATAAGGTTTAATATTAATTGCCAATGAGTGCACAAAGTTCAAATGCATGCACAAGCAGGAACTTTTCTCATACTCTGTGAAACTCTATTCCAGAGATTCTTTCCGTTTTTTTTTTTTTTTTTTTTTTTTTTTTTTTTATTATTATTATTTTTCTTCTCACATATTTTTGTTTGATACTTTTATACAAGATATTGCAGCATTTTCTTTTCGGTTACTTGAATGCATATATATATATATATATATGTATATATATATATATTTTATGGGATTGAAACAAATTTCCTGTGACATAAACTTAATTAGCTTTTATTCGACTTTTGTCTCTTTTGGTTTTATTCTTCTTCTTTGTCATTCGTTTAACTCGAGACTCCTACAGAAAAGTTCTTTAGCTTTTACTTGAAAAGTAAGTGTATGTTAGTAAAGTGTAGTTTACTGTTACTACGCAATATTTTATAAAAATGACTTAAATTTTTGGTTTCATTTTTTGAATGCGATTGTTCTCTTGCGAATAGTCAATAGTGTAGTCAATTTTCTCGCAATGACGAATTTGGCGGCTTATTGGTCTGCTGAAAAGCTAC